GAGCAGGGATGAGGGAGGGGAGCCATGGGATGAGGAGGAACGGTTTTGAGGTAAAAGAAGGAAGATTGAGGGAGAAATTGTTGACTCTGAGGGTGGTGAGAGCCTGGCCCAGGTTGCCCAGAGAAGCTGTGGCTGCCCCATCTCCAGGGAGACCTTGGAGCCCCTTCCAGTCCCTCAAGGGGCTCCAGGAAAGTTGGGGAGGCAGCATGGATGAGGGAGGGGAGCCATGGGACCAGGGGGAAGGGGTTTAAGCTGAAAAAAGGGAGATTTAGGGAGAAATTGTTGACTCTGAGGGTGGTGAGAGCCTGGCCCAGGTTGCCCTGAGAAGCTGTGGCTTCCCCATCCCTGGAGGGGTTCAAGGCCAAGGTTGGATGGGGTTTGGAGCAACCTGCTCTGGTGGGAGGTGTCCCTGCCCAGAGTAGAGGGTGGCACTGAGGGGTCTTTAAGGTCCCTTCCCACCCAAACCATTCCATGATTCTACGAATCCTTGTCCTGGGAGATGGCCCAGAAAGGCCACCCTCTGCTGAATCCCCACGACTCAACCTTCCTTTGCAGTGAAAAGCGAGGATGAGGACGGCAGCCACTCGCACGGCAAAGGCAGCGAGGAGAGCAAAGACCACAAGCGCTCCAAGCGCCCCCGCACCATCCTCACCACCCAGCAGCGCCGGGCCTTCAAGGCCTCCTTCGAGGTTTCCTCCAAACCTTGCAGAAAGGTAAAAGGAGGCCACTCAACTGGTGCTTCGGGTCCTTTTTAAGAGCAAATTCAATTCTGATCCAGCTCTTTGGGTTTTGTGGGCAGGTAAGAGAGACCCTGGCAGCCGAGACGGGCTTGACGGTGAGGGTGGTCCAGGTCTGGTTCCAGAACCAAAGAGCCAAGGTGAGTGATGGTCCCTGTGTGCCACAGCTGGGTGCCACGTACCTGTGGGGTGTCCCACACACTCATTCAATTAAAAGAAAATATAGAATAGCTTAGAAATGGAGAAAAGGCTTAAAATGCTTAGAAGAACAGCTAAGCAGGACCATCCACAGGTCCACCTAATCCTACAACACGCATCTAGTAGCAGCAAAAGCTTAGAGCAATACAAAAAGTGATTAATTATTGAATTTTGCTTAACATTTTTCACATTCCTAAATTATTTTATTGTTATTACTCTTTTTCTACTTGCTTTCCCCCTCCTCACTATAGAAAGACTAGAAGAACTTCTTTCTTCTAGAAGGTGAAACCTTCCTTTCTTTCTTCTAGAAGGTGGAACCTTTCTTTCTTTCTTCTAGAAGGTGAGACCTTTCTTTCTTTCTTCTAGAAGGTGGAACCTTCTAGGTGGTGAGCCAATTCTTTCTTCTAGAAGGTGAAACCTTTCTTTCTTTCTTCTAGAAGGTGAGACCTTTCTTTCTTTCTTCTAGAAAGGGACCTTCTAGAAGGTGAGCCACTTCTTTCTTCTAGAAGGTGAAACCTTTCTTTCTTTCTTCTAGAAGGTTGAGACCTTTCTTTCTTTCTTCTAGAAGGTGGAACCTTCTAGAAGGTGAGCCACCTCTTTCTTCTAGAAGGTGAAACCTTTCTAATTTTGCAGAATTTAGAGGAGGGTTACACCATGGAGGTGCTTGGTCTCTCCGCAAGGCAGGTGGCCAGGGTCTGCGGCTGCGTTAAACACAACCCACTCCCCTCCTCATCCAGTGAGAACCTCAAACCCCGGGTCTCCATCTCCTTGCAGATGAAGAAGATCGCTCGCCGGCAACAACAGCAGCAGCAGCAACAGCAGGAGCAAGACCAACTGGGCAACCCTCGCTTGGGGAGCGGGAGAGGGACCGGTCGCAACAGCAGGCAGAGCAATGATGACAGCGAAGGTGAGGAGCCACCATGCATGGTGACAGCGCTGGGGGTGCAGGATGGGATGGAGGGGGTTGGTGACAGAGAAGCTGTGGCTGCCCCATCCCTGGAGGGGTTCAAGGCCAAGGTTGGAGGAGGCTTGGAGCAACCTGGTCTGGTGGGAGGTGTCTGGGCGTGGAACTAGATGGTCTTTAAGGTCCCTTCCAACCCAAACCATTCTATGATTCTATGAGCAGGGATGTCTCCACCCATCCCAGGTCGCTCAAAACCTTGTCCATCCTGACCTTGAATGTTCCCAGTGATGGGGCATCAAAGAGGGGAGATTGAGATGAGATTTTGGGGAAGAACTTGTTTGGTGTGAGGGTGGTGAGAGCCTGGCCCAGGTTTTCCAGAGAAGCTGTGGCTGCCCCATCCCTGGAGGGGTTCAAGGCCAGGTTGGAGGAGGCTTGGAGCAACCTGCTCTGGTGGGAGGTGTCCAGGGATGGAGCTCAATGGTCTTTAAGGTCAGGTTGCCCAGAGGAGCTGTGGGGTTGCCCAGAGAACCTTGAAGAGGTTCAAGGCCAAGGTTGGAGGAGGCTTGGAGCAACCTGCTCTGGTGGGAGGTGTCTGGGCGTGGAACTAGATGGTCTTTAAGATCCCTTCCAACCAGATCCATTCTATGATTTACCCCATCCCACTGGTTGTGTCTTTAGACGGCGCAAGCGTCCACGGCCTGGATGGGCTCATGGTCCCCTACCCCAGGATCCCCCAGCAGCAGCTGCTGCCCCTGGAGCAGAACGGCTACAGCACTGACCTCTACAGACAAGGACTGACGCCCCCTCAGCTGCCTGGAGACCACCTGCACCCCTACGGTAGGAGAGCAGTGGAAGATTGTCCATCAACGCCGCATGTAGATGTCTAAGTGACGAAAAGCCAGCTCTGCTGTGACAACAGCCAGCAGAAGCAAGAGCTCCCCAGGGCTTGGACCTCATGCTGAGCCTTTCTCAGATGTTTGGTGAGGCCAGAGCCTCAGCCCCAGGGGCCAGGATGGAGGTTGGGGTCTCACCTCCATCCAAGATGAAACGTTTAGGTGAGGGAGGAGAGAGTTTTGCCTGAAGTTGGTCCTGGGTGGGGGGCTCACCTCAGACCTGCTCAGGGTGACCATGGCTCAGGGTGAAACATGGTCCTGCTGTTCCTCTTTGTCTGTGCCCCATGGGGCAGCCTCATGCCACCTTTTGCTCCTTTCCATTTCTCATTTCCTTTCCATTTCTCATTCCCATTTCCATTTCTCATTTCCTTTTCCTCTCTCATTTCCATTTCCTTTCTTGCTTCCTTTCCATTTCTCATTTCCATTTCCTTTCTCATTTCCATTTCCATTTCTCCTTTCCTTTTCTCATTTCCTTTCCATTTCTCATTTCCATTTCCTTTCTCATTTCCTTTCCATTTCTCATTTCCATTTCCTTTCTCATTTCCATTTCTCCTTTCCATTTCTCATTTCCATTTCCATTTCTCATTTCCATTTCCTTTCTCTATTCCGTTTCTCCTTTCCATTTCTCATTTCCATTTCCTTTCTCTATTCCATTTCCTTTCTCATTTCCATTTCCATTTCTCCTTCCCATTTCTCATTTCCATTTCCTTTCTCATTTCCATTTCCATATCTCCTTTTCATTTCTAATTTCCTTTCCATTTCTCATTCCCATTTCCATTTCTCATTTCCTTTTCCTTTCTCATTTCCATTTCTCATTTCCTTTCCATTTCTCATTTCCTTTCCTTTTCTCATTCCCATTTCTCATTTCCTTTTCCTATCTCATTTCCATTTCTCATTTCCTTTCCATTTCTCATTCCCATTTCCATTTCTCATTTCCTTTTCCTATCTCATTTCCATTTCTCATTTCCTTTCAATTTCTTATTCCCATTTCCATTTCCTTTCCATTTCTCCTTTCCATTTCCATTTCTCCTTTCCATTTCTCATTTCCTTTCCATTTCTCCTTTCCATTTCCTTTCCCATTCCCATTTCCATTTCTCATTTCCATTTCCTTTCTCACTTCCTTTCCATTTCTCATTTCCTTTCCATTTCTCCTTTCCATTTCCTTTCCCATTCCCATTTCCATTTCTCATTTCCATTTCCTTTCTCACTTCCTTTCCATTTCTCATTTCCTTTCCATTTCTCCTTTCCATTTCCTTTCCCATTCCCATTTCCATTTCTCCTTTCCATTTCCTTTCCCATTCCCATTTCCATTTCTCCTTTCCATTTCTCCTTTCCATTTCCTTTCTCATTTCCATTTCCTTTCTCATTTCCATTTCCATATCTCCTTTTCATTTCTCATTTCCTTTCCATTTCTCATTCCCATTTCCATTTCTCATTTCCTTTTCCTTTCTCATTTCCATTTCTCATTTCCTTTCCATTTCTTATTTCCTTTCCTTTTCTCATTCCCATTTCTCATTTCCTTTTCCTATCTCATTTCCATTTCTCATTTCCTTTCAATTTCTTATTCCCATTTCCATTTCCTTTCCATTTCTCCTTTCCATTTCCTTTCCCGTCTCCACACTCATTTTCTTTTCCTTCCTCTTCCAGACTCAGAAGGAGTTTTTCACGATATGGACAGTGACAGCATCAGCCACCTGGGCGACTGCCTGCTCTCGACGGCCGAAGCCAACCTCCTCCAAGCCCGCGTGGGCAACCCCATCGACCGACTCTACTCCATGCAGAGCTCCTACTTCACCTCCTGACCATAAAAAAGCTCCCCGACTCTTCAGGAGTATCTCGGCTGGATGCTGCTGTGAATTCAGAGCGAGGGCGAGGGAGAAGAAACGAGACCGAGACCTTCAAAGACATTCCTTGAGCACTGCACAACGGAGGAGGCAACGAGGTCCACCACACGCAGAAGCACTAATTCATGGAGACCTTTCGCAGCCCGAAGGACTTGGGGTCTCTCCTGTTTTGGTTTTTTTTCCTGTTGGGGCCTCTCTCCTGTTTTTTGTTTTTTCTTTAGCCACGAGTAGATCGATGGTATGATGTCGTTTAGCTGTAACTTTAGCAGTTTGTCCAGTGTTGAAGCTTTTGAGCATTATGTCCTGCAAACATAAGACTGACCAAGCCACCCCGAGAAGCAGGAGGTGCCCTTCCCACCAGAACTCCCTTTATTTAAACCTTGGGTGCAGCCGAGCTGCTCGCTGGGCTCTTTTTGCTTCATTCCCCAACCCAAATTCAAGCTTCCTGGGACAAGGAGAATTTCCCACAGCAAAACGCCAGGTCCTGAGGCACCTCTAAAGGATGTCACTGCTGCTTCAGAGATTTTCCACGTGGTTCTCCATCAGTTGGGCCAGGACAGGTATTTTTAAGGGTTAACGTTTCAGAGATGGACAGTAGTTTGGCCACAGACTGAGAAGGCTACACTTGGGTATCAGCTTGGAGAAACAACTGAATATTTATCCTCTGTCACCTTCAAGGACGCCAAGAGAACCCACCCACAACGAGTCCTCCATCACCTTGATGTCTGTCTCCCTCTCACGGGGTGGTTTTACTCCCTTTTGGGATGGAATGAACACTCACTCTCCCAAAATCCCAGCTGCCAGCCACACTAATTCCTGGTTTTTGTTGGGTTTTTTTTGATAAAGCAGCAAAATGAAGGCTTTTACTCTAAAAATATCCCTGCTAGGAAGCCCTGCCTCTGTAGGCTTGGCCACGGAGGGGCTTTCCACCCTGGCTGCATTCCCAGTTCACCCAAGGGATCCCACCAGCCCCTCGCATCCCTCCAGTGAGTGAGGAGGGAAAGAAACTGGGCTGCGTTATCCCACAACGTGTCCTCATCAAGTTGCTTCACCCCAAGAGGTCACCTTTGCTTTCATCTTCCAGGTCAAGCCAGAGGTGACATCAGGACTCGGCCAAGAGAAAAGTGCCTCTGTAGGCTTGGCCACGGAGGGGCTTTCCACCCTGGCTGCATTCCCAGTTCACCCAAGGGATCCCACCAGCCCCTCGCATCCCTCCAGTGAGTGAGGAGGGAAAGAAACTGGGCTGTGTTATCCCACAACGTGTCCTCATCAAGTTGCTTCACCCCAAGAGGTCACCTTTGCTTTCGGCTTCCAGGGCAAGCCAGGGGTGACATCAGGACTCGGCCAAGAGAAAAGTGTGTCTCCACCGTGGATCAAAAGGAATAATCTAATTATTTTTACCCCATTATGATGCCAGGAGGCAAGTGAGATCCGAGGTGGGCACCCAGATGTGTGCCCACAAAAGGGGAAAGAGAGAGAGAAGGGAATAGAAATCGGAATAACCACCAAAAGGAAGTTCTTTATTCTCCTGCCTAGGACCTGAGTCTGGGATTTGGGTCTTTATATCGGTGAAGAACGGGTGGTGTTCCCAGAAAGGTTGGATTTTCCCAGAAAAGGAGGCTTTTCTTTGTGGAGTTTGACTTCTAAGCCTTCCCAGGCTTCCCAGTCTGATTTTAAAGGTGTGTAAACTCCCCTCCTCGATGAAAAAAACCAAACCAAAACAAAAAGAAATGGCTAATTTTTGGTGTGGACTTGAGTTATGGAAGAAGTTATGGAGGAAGATTCCCAGGAACTAGATAATCCTGGATTTGGGGATGAAAGGAGATGCCGTCCTGATGAGTTTTGGATTTTTTTTTCACCTTCTCGACTACTTAGAGTAGAAGTGACACAAAGAAAGGCCAGAACCACAGGTCACTCCGCTGTTGTCCCCCTCTAATAAAGCCGTGCGAACGTGACACGAGCTGCCGTGCAGTCACTTCCCCCTCGTGTTTCCAGCCCCAGCTTCTGCAGCTGGACTTCCCTTTGCTCTCAGTATCAGACATCTCTCCCCCCCAAACCACCCGTGTAAATATTTAACAGCCCCTTCGACGTTTCTTTTTAGGAGGGGGAAGGGGGGAGCCTTAAAAAAAAACCAAAACAAAAAGAAATGGCTAATTTTTGAAAAAAACCAAACCAAAACAAAAAGAAATGGCTAATTTTTGGTGTGGACTTGAGTTATGGAAGAAGTTATGGAGGAAGATTCCCAGGAACTAGATAATCCTGGATTTGGGGATGAAAGGAGATGCCGTCCTGATGCGTTTTGGATTTTTTTTTCACCTTCTCAACTACTTAGAGTAGAAGTGACACAAAGAAAGGCCAGAACCACAGGTCACTCCGCTGTTGTCCCCCTCTAATAAAGCCGTGCGAACGTGACACGAGCTGCCGTGCAGTCACTTCCCCCTCGTGTTTCCAGCCCCAGCTTCTGCAGCTGGACTTCCCTTTGCTCTCGATATCAGACATCTCTCCCCCCCAAACCACCCGTGTAAATATTTAACAGACCCTTCGACGTTTCTTTTTAGGAGGGGGAAGGGGGGAGCCTTTTGCAGAAACAGCTATTTATGACCCGTCTTTACCCAGACAGACAAATTCTAGACCAAGCTGCTGCAGGTGGGTGACTCCCCCATCTTTGCTCTGTGGTCACCCCCCCATCCCCTAAGAAACGAACCAGAGAAACTCCTCGAGATGTTGATGACTTTTAGAGGCTCTTGCACTAGAGACGGTCCCAGTTTAGGATAAGTTTGAAGTGAATGTTAGCACTGAACTTCGTGCAAAATTGATGTTTCTCCCAAATCGAGCCAGCCTCACCCACCCTTTCTTCCTTGTGATAAGAGTGCTGTGACGTGCCGATGGGCTTTATTTTTCTTTTTCATTTTTTTTTGCATGTACATTTGAAAATAAATTTAAAAAAAAAAGTAAATTGAAGTGGAAATGTGAAGCTTGCCTCAGCGCAGACAGACAAACGGCGGGGCACGAGCTGGCGCCCTGCTGGCCCCTGAAAGTTGGGACTTCCCCAGGAATCCGTCACTTTTACCAGGAATCTGTCACTTTTACCAGGAATCCATCACTTTTCCCAGGAATCCGTGGCTTTTCCCAGGGAATTGGGTATCCTGGAGCAAAGCAGCAAGAGCGGGCGGCTGTTGGTGCCCTGATGGAGTCGGCGAAGCCAAGAGCAGGAGGGAATAAGTTGGAGGAGGAACTGGAATCCCAGTGGGAATGAAGAAATAAGCTGGAGCTGCTGATGCAAAGGAGCCTGGTGGTGAGAAGGGAGCTCAAGTCCAAGAGCTGGTGATGAAATTTGGACCCTACGGAAAGAAACGACCGGGTTTCTCCCAGATCTAGGGGTCCTGGTGGACAGCAAAATGACAATGAGCGAGCAGTGAGCTCTTGTGGCCAAGAAGCCAACGGAATCCTGGGCTACGTAGGGAAGAGTGTGGCCAACAGGTCAAGAGAAGTCATTCTCCCCCTCTGCTCTGCACTGGTGAGGCCACAACTGGAATCCTGTGGCCAGTTCTGGGCTTCCCAGTTCAAGAGGGACAGGGAACTGCTGGAGAGAGTCCAGCGAAGGGCAACAAAGATGATTCAAGGACTGGAGCATCTCCCTGATGAAGAAAGACTGAGATCTGGACTACGTAGGGAAGAGTGTGGCCAACAGGTCAAGAGAAGTCATTCTCCCCCTCTGCTCTGCACTGGTGAGGCCACAACTGGAATCCTGTGGCCAGTTCTGGGCTTCCCAGTTCAAGAGGGACAGGGAACTGCTGGAGAGAGTCCAGCGAAGGGCAACAAAGATGATTCAAGGACTGGAGCATCTCCCTGATGAAGAAAGACTGAGAAAGCTGGGACTCTTTAGTCTGGAGAAGGCTGAGGGGAGACCTTATTCATGCTTCCAAGGATCTCAAGGAGGATGGAGCCGGACTCTTTTCAGTGGTTCCCAGTGAGAGAACGAGGGGCAACGGGCACAAGTTGGAACAGAAGAGGTTCCACTCAAATATGAGGAAAAACTTCTTCACAGTGAGGGTGGCAGAGCCCTGGAAGAGGCTGCCCAGGGAGGGTGTGGAGTCCCCTTCCTTGGAGATTTTCAAGACCCACCTGGATGCTGTCCCTGAGTAACATGCTCTGACAAGCTCTAGGCAATCCTGCTTCAGCAGGGGAGTTGGACTAGATGATCTCTATGGTCCCTTCCAACTTTAAAAAATTCAGTGAAATTCAGACCACGGGTTTGGCTGCAGGGGGTCTCCAAACCTGAGGCTGGCTTCTGCCTCAAACGACCAGTTTGCAATCCCAAGCCCAAATCCAGGCTGGGGAGGCGGGGGGGAGGAGGAGAAAGGGCTGGGGAGCAGCCCTGAGGAGAAGGATTAGCCCTGAGGAGAAGGATTTAGGGGTGTCAGGGGGTGAGAAGCTCAACATGAGCCCGGAAAGCCACCGGCAACCTGGGCTGCATCCCCAACAGCGTGGCCAGCAGGGCTTCTGCCTCAAACGACCAGTTTGCAATCCCAAACCCAAATCCAGGCTGGGGGGGGCAGGAGGGAGGAGGGGAAAGGGCTAGGGAGCAGCCCTGAGGAGAAGGATTTAGGGGTGGAGGCGGGGGGGAGGAGGAGAAAGGGCTGGGGAGCAGCCCTGAGGAGAAGGATTAGCCCTGAGGAGAAGGATTTAGGGGTGTCAGGGGGTGAGAAGCTCAACATGAGCCCGGAAAGCCACCGGCAACCTGGGCTGCATCCCCAACAGCGTGGCCAGCAGGGCAAGGGGGGGGATTCTACCCCTCTGCTCTCCTCTGGGGGGATGTCCCCCATCTCTGGGGCCATCAGAAGGACACGGAGGTGTGAGTGGGGCTGGAGGAGGCCCCGGAGATGCTGGGAGGGCTGGAGCCAAGAATGGAATCACACACGTTTTGGGCAATATCCAGGCTTTTTGGCTTTCCCCCGTTTGGGCTCGACGTGGCCAAGGGACGGAGCGATGGCTCTCACCACGCAGGGAAGTGCAGGTGTGTGGCTGCGACACGGATTCGGGCAGAATTTGGGAATGCCCACGAGCTCTCTGAAACCCCCAGGGTGCCTTTCTCTCCCCTCTTCGAAAGACAAGGAGAATATAAAGGCGAATAAAAGCCCAGGACCGGCCACGGGATGAAAAACGCTCCCCTCTGCCCACCCCCGTTTCCCTCGTGCTCGCCAGTGACTCCAAAAAAAAATATAAAAAATCACCTGGAGGGGAGCCAAGGAAAGCAAAAACGTGTGTGTGTGTGTGTGTGTGTGTGTGTGTATGGAATGTGGCTCCGTAGAGATCTCTGCCCTCCACGGTTGCCCATCGCAGAGCCGGGACCTGCCAGGGGCACTAAATCTCTCCCCGTGACTGCAAACACCAAAGGAACAGGCTGATTTATGGTTCCTTTAAGTAAGAGAAGCAGAGTGTAAAACGAGAATATTTTCTGGATGAAAAATTAAAGAGACGGGTTTTTTTTTTTTTTTTGTTAGTTCCTCATTCTAGGATCGTGTGTAATTTACCTTATTGGTTGGAAAGTTCCACTTGAAAGGAAAAGTGACATCAACGGGAGTGAAAGCAACAGGCTGAAAAAAAAAAAAAAGTCCTGACACACTTAACTTCACCTTCTGAAAGATCTAAACCCAGAACAAAACGGAGGAAAAACAAAGCAAGGAATTAACGAACCTAATGATCCTTGGGTTTCTCTTAGTTAAGGCCCTCAGAAGTCCTTGCATACCTTAATTAATTACCCTCATTGCTCCCTGGCCCAGTAGGTGTTACGTGTCAGAGATGAGTAGACACACAGAACACGTTAGGAAGAGCTTCCAGGGCCACACAGAAAGTTAAAAGTAAGTTAAAAGAGGAAAAAAATTGACTTTCCATTTGCTTAACTACCAGCCGAAACGCTCATGTCAATGGAGGACAATTAAAAGTGGAGAAAACAGAGAAGCAGGAGATGGAAACCAAGCAGAGAATGGTAAAGGTGGCGCCAGAGGAGGAAAAACAGGACATTTGGGACACAAAAAGCCATGTGGGTGAAGGATCCTTTATAATAATTAACCCCCAGGCGAGAAAACCCATAAGATTCTGCCACCACTTAGAGTTTCTCAACCACCTTAGAACTTGTTCCTTGGGTTCTTCTTGGTCCTTCAGGGCTTTAGTGTTTATTTCTGATTTTTTTTATTTTCCTGATGAAACTCAACAAGGGCAAGTGCAGGGTCTTGGACCTGGGAAGGAATAACCCCCTGAAACGGGACAGGTTGGGGGTGACCTGCTGGAGAGCAGCTCTGAGGAGAAAGACCTGGGAGTCCTGGGGGACAACAGGATGCCCACGAGCCACCAACGTGCTCTTGTGGCCAAGGAGGCCAATGGCATCCTGGGGGGCATGAGGAAGAGTGTGGAGAACCTCAAAGGAGGTCATCCTCCCCCTCTGCTCTGCTCTGCCCTGGGGAGGCCCCATCTGGAGCACTGGGACCAGTTGTGGGCTCCCCAGTTCCAGAAGGACAGGGAACTGCTGGAGAGGGTCCAGCAAAGGGGTACGAAGATGATGAAGGGAGGAGACCATGTCTGTGATGAGGAAAGGCTGAGGGACTTGGGGCTTTGGAGTCTGGAGAAGAGAAGACTGAGGGGGGATCTGATCAACCCCTTTAAGGGTGGGTGTCAGGAGGATGGGGCCAGGCTTTTTCCAGTGGTTCCCAGTGACAGGACAAGAGGGAACGGGCACAAACTGGGACATGAGAAGTTCCAACTCAACATGAGGAGGAACTTCTCCATTTTGAGGGTGGTAGAGCCCTGGAAGAGGCTGCCCAGAGAGGTGGGGGAGTCTCCATCTCTGGAGACATTCCAACCCCCCCTGGATGGGACCCTGTGGGACCTGCTCTGGGTGGGGGTTGGAGGAGATGATCTCCAGAGGTCCCTTCCAACCCCATATCTTCTTGCCCATGATCCTGTCCTCATCAAACCATGAGCCACTGCCATAACCCCATGGTACAAGAATAAAAAGAATGCTCCCTAATTCTTGTCTAATTCTCAGGTTTTCAGGTCTCTTTTGCCAGTTTACACCTTGCGAAAGACACTGGAGCAACCCGTGCTCCTTTGAGCTTGCCCATGATCCTGTCCTCATCAAACCATGAGCCACTGCCATAACCCCATGGTACAAGAATAAAAAGAATGCTCCCTAATTCTTGTCTAATTCTCAGGTTTTCAGGTCTCTTTTGCCAGTTTACACCTTGCGAAAGACACTGGAGCAACCCGTGCTCCTTTGAGCTTTTGTTGTTAAATATGTTGCCCTATTTAGGACCAAAAAAAACAGCTGGATTTGGAAATAATGGCTTCTCCCAACCCTCACGGGGACCTTTGCTCGCCCCGTGGATGTGGCTTTGCTTTATTTCCAGCTGCTGCCAGGGCTACACGTTGATTTAATGGAGAGGTTTTTCCAAGGGAGCTGGTAAACTGAGGAAGGCAACAATTTCGGGCCACAGGGGGAAGGTTCCATCGTTCTCCATGAAGTTATTTTACATTTACATCACAAGATGCACGAGGACATTCTTTATTCCGAATAAAACTCGCAGCTGCCTCACTAATATTGTCTCAAAAAAGTGGTTTTCCCCTCGATTAAACATGGAAACAGGATGGAGCAGCATCTTCCTCTTCTCCCTCTCTAATTACTACAAGTTAATTGAGCCCTGGGAGGGTTTGGCTCCACGGTGACAACAGCAAGTGCCCGGCAGCTCAGTAGTTAATGTGTTTGAGCGAGTAATAATAGAGTGGCTCAGGCTCCTGAGGAGGAGGAGGAGGAGGAGGCATAACTGGGCTTAAGAGGGGGCCCAGTGCACCTTAAACATAATGAAAAATGGCTTTTCTGCTGACAGCCTGACATTTCAATACAATGTCAACAACATGTAAAGCACCTTCGCTCCTGTCTACCGGCATCCTTTAATAAAGCTATTCACACCACAGACATTTCTGCCTAATGGGGTGCTGCCTGGGATAAATAAAACTCCAAAGACTCACTAAAAATAGATTTCTCCTCCTTTTCTGGTAGCGCTCGCCCCCTCTCTGCATTCATTTGGAAGCCAAGCCACCATCGCCTTTTCCTCCCAACTCTTCTGCCTTTCCATTCCAAACGTGATAAAAGGAAATAAAGAGTTTTCTGCCAGCTTGTTTAGATGTTTTTAGACACGATTTCAGCATCTTCTGATGGTCCCATCCCTGCTGAAATGCAGCCACCCCCCTGAGCCACAGCCAACGGCAACGGCTTTGCGAAAAGCTGGAACACAACGACCCAAACCTGCTGTCCTTCTCCCCAAAGGAGTTAAAACTCTGCCCAACTGGCAAATGCAAAGAGACATTTGCCAACCACCACGGGCTCAACGGTGAAAGCTTGGACTTAGGCCTGGCTGAAAGGTGGGGAAGGATTAATGTGTCCCAGGAAGGGGGTGGGAACCCCTAGGAATCAGCTCAAAACCCGGTTTCCCAGTTCCATATCTCTGAGAGGTATAAAAAAAACCCTCACAAACACAGTAAACCCACGTGGTGCTGTCAGAGAAGCTCTGCTGGTGCTGTGCACACGAGGTTCTAAGTGTGATCTGCTCCTTGCACACTTGTGGCAAATCCTGGTTTATGGTTCCCTGTAACTCTTCTGGAAAATCCTGGTTTATAGTTCCCCGTAACTCTTCTGGAAAACTTTTGCTTTATGGTTCCCTGTAACTCTTCTGGAAGACCAACAGCTCCTCTGAAGTTCCATTTCCACATTTAGGTCCTAAAAAGCCCCTTTCTCCATCCTCAAACCTGGCCTCGAGCACCCCAAAAAGGACTTTCTGAGGTTTAAACCTCTGCTGGGAGAGATTCTTGCTCCCACCCAAGAGCCAGTGCATTAACCAGTGATTCCCCGACGCGAAACACTGGGGCAGACCTGGATCCCAACACCCCAAACCTCTCCCTCCACGCAAGGGCTCCCAGATCTCATGAGCCCCAAATCTTAATCCCACTCCTCGTTACACCATCTACTGTTTTTCATAGTGTTTTAATTTTTTCCCCACTAGTTACAGCCCAGAAACAACCTCTCCTGAGAGCTGGGGTTGTTATTGCCCCGTGTAGGAACATTGGAGGTGGCCCCCGTGCCCCTGCATGAAAAAAATCTCAGCTGTGCTGTCGATGGAGCAGTCAGGGCTCTGAAATCTGCAGTTTTTCTCCCATTTCTGCTGGTGGGAAGACTCCCTCTGCTGTTCTAAACCAGCAGAAGGCCCAGGGCTACAACCCCTCCCGGCACCCCCAAAACCGGATGGTTTCAAATGGGTCAAGCTGGGACATTTACAGTCAAAGAAATGTCCCTGGAGTCAGTCCAGCAGCTTCCATCATCAGTGGGAAAAGCCAGAATTGGCTTTGGATCTTGAAAAGTGGGTTGTTTTGTGGTTTTTGGTTGTTTTTTTTTATTGGGCCGAAGGAAAATATGGTGCTTAATTATCAAAGCGCAGAAAAAGAAGCGAGGGTTTAGCTTTCAGTTCTTATTCGAGAGGTTGCTGGTGATCCTTTGGTGTCACTTCACCCCAGTTCTGTGTTTTATTTGCTTTTTTTGAAGTTTTTAGAGGCACCTCAGGAGGTGCTGACGGATGAAGAACGCTCTGACAGCCCGGTCAGAGTCCTGTCATCTGCTGAAGACAAACGTAGCAGGAGCCAGAACCAAGAAAAATCACATTGCAGGGCTCAACTTCCTTCTCCAGAGGGGAAAAACCAACCCAACCAAGCACCAGAACGACATTCCAGAGTAGAGAAAGACCTTTTCATTCGTTCCTGAGGATGAATTTGAATTCCAAGGCTCCCCTAGGAAAAAAAACCAGCACAAATGAAAGGATCAGGCCAGCTCTGTGCTGAGGAACAGCCGATACCACGTCGGGTGACGCGAGTGTGTCGCCCTCAAGGTGATTTTTAAACACTTCTAAACAAAAAACAAACCAAAAATAAGAGGTTATTTACTTTAATGTTGCTCCATCCACGTGCAGGAATGGAGCAGCAGGAGCTGACCCACCCCAGCACAAGAGTTCTGTGTAATTACCGGACAAAACTGATGATCGTGCTAATTAACAGACCGACAAAAAACATGAATTTACCCCAACGAGGCCATTTTCAGCCCAAAACTTTTATCGGCGCAGTCTGATATCGAGAAGGACCAACCCATTTGGGAGAAATTCTTGCCCTCATGTCCATAATGATCACACACACAACATTTACAGCCCCCAACAAGCCACACCAACAAATTACCACACTTTTAACCTCGATAAACTTCCTGGCTGAGCTTTATGCTTTTCTAAGACAGGAATGAAACGTGGGGGGGGGAGAAAAATACAGGCCTATGTGTATTCTGGGCTGCACTGTTCCACTCCAGCTGTTTACTCCGAGGAGAAGGACCTGGGGGGGTGATGAAGAGCTCAATAGGAGATGGCAACGTGGCCTGGTAGCCCAGAAAGCCACCAACAACCTGGGCTGGGTCCCCAGCAGGGTAAAGGGGGGGGATTCTGCCCCTCTGCCCCGCTCTGGGGGGATGTCCCCTGTCTCTGGGGGCATCAGAAGGACACAGAGGTGTTGGAGCAGGGTCTGAGGAGGCCCCGGAGATGCTGGGAGGGCTGGAGACCCTCTGCTGGGAGGGGGGGGCTGAGAGAGTTGGGGGGGTTCAGCCTGGAGAAGAGAAGGCTGCGGGGAGACCTTGGAGCCCCTTCCAGTCCCTCAAGGGGCTCCAGGAAAGCTGGGGAGAGAGCAGGGATCAGGGAGGGGAGCCATGGGACCAGGGGGAAGGGGTTTAAGCTGAAAAAGGGGAGATTTAGGGAGAAATTGTTGACTCTGAGGGTGGGGAGAGCCTGGCCCAGGTTGCCCCAAGAAGCTGTGGCTGCCCCATCCCTGGAGGGGTTCAAGGCCAAGGTTGGAAAGGGCTTGGAGTGACCTGCTCTGGTGGGAGGTGTCCAGGATGGAGCTTGATGGTCTCAAAGGTCCCTTCCCACCCAAACCCTTCCATGATTCCATGAGCAGGGCCATCTCCACCCAGCCCAGGTGGCTCAAAGCCCCGTCCAACCTGACCTTGAAGGTTCCCAGGGACGGGGCATCAAAGAGGGGAGATTTAGGTGAGATTCAGGAAGGAATTCTTGCTTCTGAGGGTGGGGAGAGCCTGGCCCAGGTTGCCCCGAGAAGCTGTGGCTGCCCCATCCCTGGAGGGGTTCAAGGCCAAGGTTGGAGGGGGCTTGGAGCGACCTGCTCTGGTGGGAGGTGTTCCTGCCCAGAGCAGAGAGTGGCACTAAAGGGCTTTAAGGTCCTTTTTAACCCAAACCATTCCATGATTCTAAGTGAGGAGCTCCCAAGAAGACACAGTGCGGGGAGAGCGACCATCAGGCTCGAGAGAAAACCACCCAGCTCTGCTTCCCGACACTCACCTCACGTGGAGAGCTTCACCTGGTCGGCGCAGAGCAGGAAGGCATTGACTTGGTCGCTGCAGTTCATGACGGAGGCTTGGTTCTCCTTCAGGCACTGCTCAAAGGCGGTGAAGGGCTCGGCGCAGTCCTGCCGGATCTGCTGCACGATGGGGCTGCGAGAAATACCCCCTCAGCTCCCGGGGAGCCGCACCACCCAACCCCGAACGGCCCTTAGGCCCGACCCTTCCCTCAACTCACTGTGCGGCGGCGCAGCGGGACATGCTGAGGCGGAGCCGGTGACAGTCGCGCTGCCAGGAGGCCGGGCTGGCGGCCACGCAGCGGCCGTACTCCTCCATCTCGTTACGGCAATAACGGGCCGTGATCTCCAGGGCCGCCTGCCTGCGGGAAAACGGTAAAAAATTACCTCCCGCAGGCGGCACGGCCTAATGAGGCCTAGTCCCTCCCGCCGCCCTCTACTCACATCCCGCCGCCGCTCCAGTCCCGGAAGTGCCCGAAAAGGCGGGAAACGCGCGTGCGCAGTAGGGAGGGGGGCCGCCCCCCCTCCTCCCCGCGACCGGAAGCGGAAGTGGGTCGTTGCGGTCTAGTGAGGCAAGATGGCGGCGGCCGGCCCGTCTTCGGGTCCCGTGGACGAGCTGGTCTCGTCGGTGACGTTGTACCGCCGGCGGCCGCGCCTCCTCCACGGCACCGTATTGCCCTTCGTGGCGGGGCTCTACCCGGCTTGGTTGTGGTTGTGGGGACCCCGCGTATGGGCGGCCTGGGGGGAGGCGGAGGCGGCGGCGGCGGCGGGGGTGGCTGAGGAGGAAGGCCCGAGGTCTGGGCCGGGCCCGGGCCCCGCGCCCCCCGAGGCCGCGTTGCTGGCTCTCGCCGCCATCGGTGTGGTTCATCTGCTGACGGCGCTTTCGGGGCTGTGGTCGGTGCACGCTCACTGCGCCCTCACCTGCGTCCGGGTGAGTACCGGGGCTGCCGGTGGTGCTGGGGAGTCCTCCGCCAGCAACGCGGGGAGGAGGGGGGTTTCCTACCGTTTCCCGGGGGGTTTTCGGACGTGCGGGGGCGGCTGAGGGAGCGGGGGCGTTCGGTGTGGTGGGAGCAGGGGGGAGGAGTTCCCTGAGGCGTGGTAGAGCCGCATCGGCCGTGTAAGAGCTCCGGAGGCGCCGTGAGGGTGAGGGCGGTGAGGAGAAGCTTTGCACGGAGACGTTTCTGCGTTGAGCTGGGCTTGGGCAGCGGGGCTGCGTGTTGGAAGGGGAGGAGGAAAGGGCTGGAGCCCCTCTGGGGGCTGAGAGAGTTGGGGGGGTTCAGCCTGGAGAAGAGAAGGCTGCGGGGAGACCTTGGAGCCCCTTCCAGCCCCTCAAGGGGCTCCAGGAGAGATGGGGAGGGAGCAGGGATGAGGGAGGGGAGCCATGGGACCAGGGGGAAGGGTTTTAAGCTGAAAAAGGGGAGATTTAGGGAGAAATTGTTGACTCTGAGGGTGGGGAGAGCCTGGCCCAGGTTGCCCAGAGAAGCTGTGGCTGCCCCATCCCTGGAGGGGTTCAAGGCCAAGGTTGGAGGGGGCTTGGAGCAACCTGCTCTGGTGGGAGGTGTCCAGGGGTGGAATTAGATGGTCTTCAAGGTCCCTTCCCACCCAAACCCTCATGATTCCATGAGCAGGGCTGTCTTCACCCAGCCCAGGTCGCTCAAAGCCCCGTCCAACCTGACCTTGAAGGTTCCCAGTGACGGGGCATCAAAGAGGGGAGGTTGAGATGAGATTTTGGGGAAGAACTTCTTTGCTGCGAGGGTGGGGAGAGCCTGGCCCAGGTTGCCCTGAGAAGCTGTGGCTGCCCCATCCCTGGAGGGGTTCAAGGCCAAGGTTGGAGGGGGCTTGGAGCAACCTGCTCTGGTGGGAGGTGTCCAGGGATGGAGCCCAATGGTCTTGAAGGTCCAGGTTGCCCAGAGGAGCTGTGGGGTTGCCCAGAGAACCTTGAAGAGGTTCAAGGCCAAGGTTGGAGGGGACTTGGAGTGATCTGGGCTGGTGGGAGGTGTCCAGGGGTGGAATTAGATGGTCTTGAAGGTCCCTTCCCACCCAAACCCTTCCATGATTCCATGAGCAGGGCCTGAGTTGAGAGTTCAGGGCAGGGACCAGCTGCCTTTGCTGGTGTCCATCGTTCCATCTTTTGCTGATGGACCACCTGGTTGCCATTTTTGCTGTTGTTATTATAACTGTGTCTTACTGACAGCTTTATATGTCCTAACTGCAAGTGAAGTCCTGAATATACTGCTTTTGGTGGTAGGGTACGATTTTTGGGATGGGTTGTGATGATCAGAGTGTCTTTGACTCTTAACAACAACTCTGCAGAAGCACCCGCCTGCAAAGAGCTCTTTTCTCTTCGTGTCTCAGTGCCACCCGGCTCGGATTCCTCCCTCCTCGTTGAAATTTGGGGTTTTAGCTCCTCCTTTACGAGGTGCATCTCTTTTGTCTTTCAGGAACCGTGTCCTAAAAAAGCCACATTGGCTAAAGTTGTGCCAACCCCAAATAACGGCTCCGTAGAACTAGTGCCGCTCCACAGAGACCAGGTGAGGATACAGCTGTTGGGGAACTGCTGCATCGTGCCCTCAGCCTCCAATTTATTACCTTTTCACTTAAGTAATCAGGGAAAAATCAGCTGCAGTCGGTCCAAAGTGGGGATGTTAGAGATTGCACGGTGTTTCCTTGTGTGTGCACAAGCAAAATTGTATAATAATTAGAGATATAAGGGCTTGGGGCTTCTCTCCTCCTTCATGATGATGTGGGGAGTGAAGCCCTTTGGCGTGTGTTCATCTGGTTGGTTTTTTTCCCCCCCTTCTCTCCGCAGGACGAGGATGGGCAGGAAGCCCTTTCCTTTGAATTTCAGAAAATCAAGTATTCGTACGAGAGAGACGGCAAGAAACAGTTTCTCCCTGTAGCTTTCCCCGTGGAACATCCCCTTTCTTTCTACCAGAATGCCCGAGGTTATCAGGAGGACAGGGATATCCGAGCAGCTGAGAAGAAATACGGTACAAACAAGTGAGTTTTCTGGGTGCAGATCTCTCTTTGCCCAAGTTGTGTCTGAAACAAAGGTGTTGAACCACATTTCTAGCCCTGTTTTTTAAATTTCAATTATTCCCCGCGCTTATTTCAAATTCCTTTAAGATTATCAGACTGATAATTCTCCAGGTTGGGTTATAGATGGGAATTAATTGAGTATAACAAATTAACTGAAACAAAGTGTTTGAAAATAGATTGTGGATATTCTGGAGCGCAGCCTGGTCAGACCCCAGAGGCTGCAGGAGGCTTTTGGGTTGGGCTTTTGCTGAGAATCTGGAACTTTTAGGTTAATAAGGATTCAATTTTTTTTCCAGGGCTGAGATGGTGGTGCCGGAGTTTTTAGAACTCTTTAAAGAAAGAGCCACAGCTCCATTTTTCATCTTTCAGGTAAAGAAAAAAAACCAAAAAGAGCTGTAAATGCTTCTCCCTGCTCAAAAATGAGATCATTCCTTCCAGCTCTGGCTTGAGAGCCCTAATTCCACTGGCAGCTTTGCAAAATCAGGTGTAGATGTTCTTGTACCCTCAGGAAATTTGCAGATGACACCAAGTTGGGTGGGGGTGTTGATCTGCTGGAGGGTAGAAAGGTTTTGCAGAGGGATCTGGTCGGGGTGGATGGATGGGACGAGGTCAACGGGATGAGGTTCAACAAGGCCAAGTGCCAGGTCCTCCCCTTGGGTCCCACCAACCCCCTGGATGCTACAGGCTGGGGACAGAGTGGCTGGAGCTGCCTGGTGGGGAAGGACCTGGGGGTGTTGGTCAACTGTCAGCTGAAGATGAGCCAACAGTGTGCTCAGGTGGCCAAGAAGGCCACCAGCATCAGGAACAGGGTGGGGAGTAGGACTCGGGAGGTGATGGGCACTGGTGAGGCCCCACCTTGAGGGTTGTGTCCAGTTTTGGGTCCCTTCCCACAAAAATTTCTTCTCCCAAGTCACAGGTGATGGGACAAGAAGAAACAAGTTGCCCCAGGGGAGGTTCAGATTGGAGATTGGGGACAGTTTTTCCACAGAAAAGGGGTTATTAAGGCTTGGAATGGGCTGCCCAGGGAAGGTTGAGGCCCCATCCCTGGAGGGATTTCGGAGCTGGGTTGACGTGGTGCTGGGTTTTATCAGGGTGAGGTTGCTGGTTGGACTGGATGATCTTAAAGCTCCCTTCCAACCCAGACAATTCCATGATTCTTGCACTTCAATATCAATTTTACTTCTGGGAGTGACCCTGTTTCTCCCTAATACTGTGATTTATTTTTTCTGCCTTCCTACGATTAAATATGTACCGAGTTAGATATTTTTTTTTTTTTAAATTCCTAGAAATGAAACCTTTTGCTTTCTGAAGGAAATGAGAATAACTTTTGTGTCACGTTCTCCCCGCAGGTGTTCTGTGTGGGTTTGTGGTGCCTGGATGAATACTGGTATTACAGTGTTTTCACCCTCTCCATGCTGGTGGCATTTGAAGCTTCTCTGGTCCAGCAGCAAATGAGGAACATGTCGGAGATTCGAAAAATGGGCAACAAACCCTACATGATCCAGGTAATTTCACCCCGAGAGGACAGGGGATAAAATTTAGGGTGTAGCTCTCTTAGCTGATCTTTTCCCCCTCTTTTTCTGACCTGTCCAGGGCTTCTTAAAGTGGTTTTTTTTATCACACAGGTTTACAGAAACCGCAAGTGGCGCCCCATTTCCAGTGATGAGATTATTCCAGGGGATATCGTTTCCATTGGTAATGATTTACATGGTGGTTGTAATCAAAAGCTTGTTTAAAATCAGATTCCTTCTGGTGGGTGAAGTTATGAAGTGAATTGAATTGAGTATAAAAATCTAATGGTCGTGCTTGGCTACTTTTGAGGACTTTTAATTCGTAGGGGTCACCATTGAGGGCTCTAAGAGAGTAATCCTTGGGCTGGATCTTAAAAAGGGGGAAAGCTGGGAGGGACTCTGGATCTGTGGGATGAGGGAGAATGGTTTTAAACTGAAAGGTAAATACTTCAAGGTTTTAGCCTCAGATTAAGATTGTGAAAGAAGAATTCCCTTCCTCCTGACAATATGGAAAGGAAAAGGGAAAGGACAGATCTCTTTTAACCCTGCTCTCCTTTTTAATCTTGTATCACCCCAGGACGTGGTGTCAGTTTTTTAAGCCCAAACAGCAATAAGAACTAAGTGACTTAATTTGAAACTTTCCTGGTCTCAAAAGGGACTTAATAACCTTCAAACCCTTTTGGTTCTCAGTGACTCTGAGTGGGTCCGTGCTGGGATAGACGTGGTTGGAAGCTTTAGGAGTCTCTGATAAATTGAAGGAGAGTTGGTTATTTCTCCTGCAGGGTCCCAGTGATAGTCCCTTCTGCCTTTGAGCTGCTTCTCAGTTTTAATTGCTTAATTACAGGCCGATCTCCTCATGAAAACCTAGTGCCATGTGATGTTCTGCTGCTAAGGGGCAGGTGCATCGTGGATGAAGCGATGCTGACGGGAGAGTCCGTGCCGCAGATGAAGGTTTGTGGGGAAATCTTT